GTGCATATACATAATCGAAAGTCAAAACGTCGCTTTAGTCCAGCTGTGTCATACCTTTATAAGAAACGCTTATCTGCTTTTTTACGCTTAAAAATACTTTCATGTGTATTTTGTTCTCGAGAATGTGTTTTTATGGGTGATTCAGCAGTTTTTTTTGATTGGTTTAAAAGTGGTAAGGCCCCATATATCTTATAGATGCTTAGCGAAGTGAGAACTAGAAAAAAATTTGAGTTTTCATATTCAGCACCCGACATAGACCTAACAGCAAGCCTGCGCTCAAATTTTTGCCTTCAAGATTGGTTTATGTTATTTTTGTAAGCTTAAAATGATATAGAAGCATTATTTACAAAAATAGAAGTTTTGTACACTATACTCACGAGTGTTCGCCAAGTCACATTTTGCTTCGTTTTCAAAAATAAATCTTCGTGGTTCGGTGATAATATTTTGGCAATCCCAAAATACTTACCAGATGGTACCTTTCCTGATTTTTTGCCACTATTTAGCTGCTAGATAGTGAAAATACCCTGTGCTGTATGTTGCCTTGTGACTCACGTGAGCATTACGGTCAGAACCAAAAACAAGTTTAAGGCTTTTTGCAAATCAGTTTTTGCAGGTTGAATTCCTCAATTCAATTAGCTTGCAGGCTAGGACCTGCGGAAATCTGCAAACACTGCATCCGGGCTCTCATACGTACAACAATGTTATTACTCTACTTCACGCTCATGAGAACATTACTGAAAGAGTTTGAGGGCATAAATTTGAGCAGGCCTGCGGTTAGGTCTATGTCGGGTGCTGAATATGAAAACTCAAATTTTTTTTCTAGTTCTCACTTCGCCAAGCATCTATAAGATATATGGGGCCTTACCACTTCCAAACCAATCAAAAAAAAACTGCGGAATTACCCATAAAAACACATTCTCGAGAACAAAATACGCATGAAAGTATTTTTAAGCGTAAAAAAGCAGATAAACGTTTCTTGTAAAGTATGACACAGCTGGACTAAAGCGACTGTTTTGACTTTCGAGTATGTATATGCACGAAGAATTTGGAAGCCGAGAATTACCTTTTGGACAGAAACCTTAGGTGGACTTATTTTCGGCTAACCTTCACGCCTGCTTTTTTCAAAATTTTTGATTTTTTCTTGAATAACCAAACGAAAACGAGACTCGTTCTGAAGACTGATAGTAGGCTGGTAAACACACGGCTTTACCGAAGCACTGTATATTCGTTTTTTTTTTGTGAACGAATTATGTATAAAAGGCGCCCTAAGTTTGCGTGATGTTGCAAAAATTTGGTAAAGACTTCTTCTAATCTTACTATTTCTTCACCAGATTTTTGCAATATCATGCGAACTTGAGGTGTCTTCTGTACTCAGGGAAATTCGGAAAATAAAAATATGTTGCGCTATCAAAAAAATTCTTTCCTGCTCAACAGGGAAGGGCTTCTGTTTTTCCCTGAACTATCCAATAATACCAGACGTACATACAGAAAAAAGAGTGTAAGTATTCTACAACCCTTCGAAAACGACTAGAATTTTTGGCCCACTCAAGCGGGAGGGACGTGATGAAGCTGCATTTTTGCTGCAAGAATGTCATGCACTTGGCTACTTTTTTGCTCTGCAGCATTTTCATGTGGTGTGAATAATGATGATGACTGTACACCGTAATTCTTTATAAGAAAATAAAGATTCGGTGCAAGATCTGATTCAGAAACATCAAAAACTTGTCGGACCGCTCCGTGTTGCCTGTTTTTGGATACGCATGCTAGCAATGCGTAAGAAGGCTAATACGGCCCTTGTTGAAAAGGTCAGTCACAGTGGCACGAATTGATAGTTTTTTTGAATAAATGTTTCAGCTGGATTTTTTTACTGTGTGCTTCTTAATGGAAGTGGCAATGTACAGAGGATCGGTTCAAGCCAGGTTTAGCATGATTCGTTGTACAAGTATCAGGGGCCACGAAATTTTTTTCCGGAGTAAGAGGGGCGCGACAAAAAATTTTTCGGCTTCATGTGCTTTCCTCATTTTTGTGGGCTTATAATCCTCAAACTCGGAAAACATTTTCGAGGCTTCGTTGAATTTTCAAAGATCAAAAAGTATCCAGTTACTTGCAAAAATGAGCATATTTGATTTCCTAACTCATGTTGATTTTCACCCATTCTCCCCAAGTCCCTCACTCACTATTTACATAAACTTTGCTAAATGGGGAAAGAGCGCAATACAGGGACAGGAGCAACCTTTGAAAAAGCGGTCGTTAGGTCACTCCAAATCAGTTCATGCTAGTTCACAGAACGACAGCTGTTCTAGCTTGACTGTATCTCAACACATTTAGAAGAAAAAAAATTGTATTCTAACAAAACTGGAGCCCAAATGTCCTGCCACAAAAATGAGTCACAAACTCAGAGTGGAATTTCTAGCATGTGACGGATAATACCATCATGTATTGGAATGACTCTCATCCAACTTCTCCTATCTGCTCTCGCGGAGTATAGGCGACTCATCACACGCACAGACTGGACGCTTTTGCGTCCTACCAAGATAGTCCGTGCATGAGAGAGAGAGAGAGCAGATGGCAAGAGGGACGAAAGAGTGCTCGATCAGTGAGACGCCGACAGCATCGTAGTGACGCCCTGTCCTTGCATTTTATAAATCGCCTATACTTCCTTTCGCAACGCACGCAAAAGGGAAAGGACCATTAGTTCGGGGATGTGCTCACAGATGTTATTATTTTGCACCCTTCTTTACCTCTTCTCCGTCTATATGAATGGCATTTCTCCATGTCCCAGACTTAAGAGTAGTCAGAACTGCTCTTGAAGTAACATTTCCCAGAACAAGTAACATTTCGCTCCTATCTGCACTTACAAAGCCGAACATTTGAACACCATTACTATCCTCTTCCTAGCCCTCCGTGTTCCTGCCGCACTCGTTGTTGACGATGAACACGAGGCACAAGCGAAGCCGGTTGCACTCTGCCTGTTGTCGTCCACATCGCCATCAATAACAGCGTGTGCAGTCTTCTCCTTCATCGTTGATCATTCGATTCGATCGGCGATCGAAACGATCGTGGAGGCCGCCTCAATTTTATTTCGTCTTCGCAAGTGTTTCTCGGTGTTTCCCTGCTTTGTTGCTTGAATAGAACTAGCTTGCTACTTTTTCTCGCTTAGTTACTGCCACTGCTATATCGATATGAAAGTGGCGCATGTGAAGACCTCTACTAAGCCAAAAGGCACACTATTTCTATCAATCTGATGTCCATATCAAGTGTTTATCAAGTAAATCAAGTGTTTAGCATTGTCCATATTTTTACGTTCGACTGCGAAGTCATCGGAATGTATTAGCTCATTGCGTTTTAGTAATCTTGTAGAATTCGCGTGAACTCGCTAAATACTCAATGAACGATTAGTGTCTTTTTCTCCATCTCTTGTTTAAAAATATGCATTTTACTAGAATTAAGAGGATATGTTTGATTTTTTACACTTCCGCAAACCTGTTGTTGGCGCTTTCATAGGTGTTTTGGTGTAAAATGAATAGGTACTATACTTGTTATTCTGCAAATGAATCGAAGAAGAGCAACTATTGAGACTCCTGCTTTCGCATGAAATGTTAAGAAGTGTCCATTTTTCGTATATTTCCACTTGGAAAATAAAATGCGCTTCACATTTATGGCTTCTGTTGGGAAGCAGTGAATCCTTCTTCTCAAAATGCATTTTTAAGATCGAAAAAATTGAAGTGTAATAAATGAGATAAATCTACTAACTTGTAACATGTCCATCTTTGCGATATATTATCGTTCATTCGATCTAAATCAACTTATAATTACTGCGCTCCAACATATTGTGCAAGTCAGCAAAAATTTCTACCTAGTAGATACTCTGAGATGAAATCATGTGGAAACTCAGAGCCGGTCTGTAACTCTCCTTCTTGTACTTGATTTGCAAAAGAAAAATACTCGGTTGGTTCGAAAGATTGGTTCGAAATTGATAATGACGTTAATTTGGACTGCCAAAAATGACCTTATCTGGAGAGCGTTCTGAGTTCTTCTTCGTAGGGCCGCGCTAACGTGGTCACGTTCTTGCATAAGAAAATTCTGTCCCCATTTCTGAAAATTTTCGATCACCATGCGATGTTCGTGGAGTTACTCAGCACATTCTTGAATGGAGGTAATTTAGCTCTGCGCGATGTGCATCATAAACATCGAGACCTCATCTGTTATCATTCTATACCATGATCATTATGAGGCTGTACTGTCATCTGTAAATTCACTTATTCTTTCACCTATTTACGCCTAAAAGTCTCCCACCAAAGTCTTTAGTATTTGGAAAGCGTTAAGGGTTAATGTTTTGTGAATCATCTCCACACTTTGAATCACCACTTAAGTAACTCTCTTTGCCAAATACGAGCCAATCATTCTATGGAAAGAAGAATTGCTCATCACTATCTTAGTGCTTTTGAAAGCATTGCCTTTCAAAGTTTCTCGTCGAAATTACCTTAACCGTGAAAATTTCTGAATCTAGACGTTTTTGTCGTTCTCGTTTTCGATGCTCTTTCCATTTTTTCCCTTTGAATGTCCTAATTATCCGAATAAGGCAGAGTATTCTGCTAGACAGGGAGAACTTTTACTTCTTATAAAAGGCAGGGATGAGTGTATTTTTCGTCATCTCAAAATGGAATTCCCTTTCCCAGCCAAAATTATCATTAGGCTAATAAAGGGCAGCAACGGCATTGGAATCTTTACTCTCGAGAATCTTCCGCTAGGTCAGTTTTGTCAATGACGTTCATGTACTCTTTCTCCATTCTTGTTAAAAATTTCAAAAAACTCATATGGAGATCTTGTACACAGAAATTTGTCTCTAACATCCGAGGGTTTAGTACCACAGTTCAATGGAATGCATAGAACTGGAATGTCAAGTTAACGAAAATCATCCTTTCACAAATTTTTAAAAACTTACCTAGTTGATCTCTCTTTATTGTCCTGATTTGGAGATGTCTGTTGTCATTCTAATGCTACACAATCTCAGAGCGTAGAAAGTCCGCTCCTAAAGCAAAGATCTTCAAGCTTCAAAAGCTTTTTCTATGACGAAACTTTGAACTTCAAGTTATACTGTACATTCCAGCGGACCTGTTTTGAAGTACGAAAATATTTGATAAGAATCGTGTGTAATCTCTTGGTCATACCACCGTTCCAAAATTGAATTTCATGTTATTGTATGAGTCACATTCTGCACTCTCATAAATTAGCTACAGCTTTCTTAAAAAGTGTATTATGTGAGATGTTCTTGTAGAAAACCTCTACAACTTTCCTCCAATAGCTTCAAAAGGAAGTCTAATAACGCACTGTGAGAACTTCATATAACTTATCGATCAATTCCTCCCTTTGATGAAAAACCTACAAATTATTTTTGTGAAACTGTCATATACACTGTCAGGTATGTAGTTCCTAAAGTACAATTGAAGTTTTTCAAAATTTTCATATAGTATGAATACACCCAGTGTGAGGCTAATGCAGAAACACCTAATACAACAAATCGATATCGTTCGGTAAAAATCACGTACATTTTCCCTATTTCGAATTATTTCTGAGCTGCAGAATGGTTGAACATACCGCTATTTTTTTTATGCAGCAAGGGTCTTTGCTTCACAAAATAAATGTAGTATAAGCATTTCTTGACAAGAAAGTAGCAACAAAAATATGTTCCAGTGAAATCAAACGTTAAATCAGAAAGTAGAGGTTTTTCAAAGAATTGATTTTTTTAGGACAACATAAGCTGTATTGTATGCTACTTTTTGATGTTGAAAGAAGGTCTACTCAATAAAGTGTATAGTAGAGTAACCAGCATTGCTTATTTGTTCACTATAGCATAGTTGAACAAATATTGTTCATGTGATGCGTTTGCAGTCAAAGATTAAACGAGGCGAACAGTTGAGCAGTTTTTTCCGTGATTCTCTCGTCATGTTTTTTGAAGGAATAGCGGATAGCTGACTCTCTGAATCATTACTGGAAAGCCGCACGATTGATGTTAGCTTGGAAAATGAGACTTGAATTTTGAGAAACTCTTTTTGCTTGAGGAAAGCATTTTGATTTAGGTGACAACTTTTTGAGTTAAATTACGCTGTTTTATTGTTAACATAGGTTCTCAATTCGAGCAAATTCAGAAGGTCAAATAACAAATATGAAGCTATAAGTATTCATTGATTCGTCCAAAAAGATAGTTCACAGAATCATAGTCAAACTCAAATAGATTTTATTAACCTTTTGGCATTCTAGTGACCAAATTTCAGTCTTCATTATCCTTTACCACCTGATATGCTGGGCGATTCTTGTTACTGTCACTGGAGTAGACTTATCCACTTTTGAATTATTAGATTGTATAGTTATAGTTCTGTCCCATTTTGTCTTTTGGTTTTTCCTCATTATTTTGCATTGTGTTTTGCAAAATGTATATGGCATTTGAAAGGTGTCAATCCCCAACTGAGCGAAAAAGTGAGAGTTTTTTAGCATTAGAACAAAAATTGATACATCGAAAACATTAAAACAACAGAAATGATTTTCGAAACTTTCTGGCACTCCTACGCGCTGCAGAAGGCATAGTGTTCATTATTTACGCGCAGCAGTTCTTCGAGCTTTTCGTACCCATTCTGACTTATTGGGAAGGCGACGTAATGTGGTTGTCGAAAACGGATTATTTTCGTTTTTGCATTCTGCGAAACATCGTGCAAAATTTTGAAAAAATAAAAAGAAAAAATTGGATAGAACTTATTACACAACTTATTATATCGAATTTATTGATATAATCGAGATCGCAAAAAGTGATTTTCCAAAGTCCTCATGAAGACTTATGTTCCAATCTTTGCTCCCAAATGTTATAGATAGAGAGCGATAATCGTCTAGCTGTAGTAATAAGGCTTTTAATCCTTGTTGATCCATCGATAATTCAGCACAACCGACGTGCGCCTGTTGACAGAATTTAGCCAAAATTACTACATTGTCAGTCTTGTGCTAGTCGTTCTCGTTTCAAATCTTTACGAATTCCTACAAGTTTCCGGAAGTACAGGGAACTTTTGCGAGTATGCTCAGAGCCGTCACAATTTCTTTTTTTCTACATTAGGAGATGGCAATTTTACGCTGTCCGTGGATACTGGGGCAGATCTAGGTTGTATCATGATTTTAGCAATAACAATTTATGATAAATTTATTGGAAACCTTCAAAAAAAGGATTTGAATTATGATATTCCATTGCCATTATATATTGAATACAATGTTTTATTGTACATATCAAGATTCTCTCATAACGTAATCAGAAATTGAGCAAAAAAAATTCAAAAACATAACTTTTGATAAGACATACGATCAGCAAGAATTATCCCTGATCAGAAAGAGTACGGTACAAATCAAAAAAAGTGAAGTGCGCTTTCATTGCCTTTCCAGCAGTTATAACGAAAAATAGAATACGATTTCGTTTCTTTTTAGTGTCACAGCGAACGAACAAAATTATCATAGTATCAAGCAAGGCTAAAAAATGGATCGTTTACTCTTATTTTATATATCTTGTGGCAGAATTCATTCAAAATGGAAGGAATTATTTTCAAAATGCAGCACTCATAGGACAACCGAATAGCGTTACTTTGAGTATTTTCAGTAACTACTATCTGGGGGTATAATCTGACATGAACAAGCCAATTTTTTTGCTGGATGTGGGTTACTGCACTTTTCGCAAGGCGAACTATACAGAAGTCTTGTCATGAATATTTTATAGTATGCTGAAATGTACCTATGCTTACCTCGTTGCCTAGTGCGACTCAAAACAGACTGTCGTATCTTGAGCTGACTAAGGAGGAAAAGAAGCCCATCAAGTACACTCAGCTCACAAGTTCTCAGCTTGAATAATCACGAGCTCATTTCGCAACAGAAGCAAACGAAAAACTCAGCTAAGCCCTAGCATGACGAAATTCGTTTGTTTATCATTTACCAGGTGCGACACTTGATACGTTTTCGGGTTCCTCGGCTTAACCCTCCTAGCGCCATGACTCATACCAGGTCTCGGGTGTTTATTTTTTACCCTTATCCACCGGCATGATGCACTTGAGCACATCTTTGCCTTGTCTCGTCTCCTCCGCGTTCCGCCCCGTGTTGTCGTGACTCATCCTCTCTCTCCTCGTTCTATTTAACCACCACTGTTCAGCTCCCGATCCAACCGAACCGATCGATCCATCGCTTCGTTTGCCAGAGAAGATGTCGCTTAAGAAATTCGTTATGTCCGGAATCCAGGATGTCCTGGTGAGTTTTCCCGCATATATTGCTTTTTCCAAATTTATTCCCAATCCCAATGCCTGCCGCCATATATGGCGGCAATGTTTTCTCAGCTGCGTTTTTACGACCCGTTCTAAATTCATCACTCTCTTATCTGCCTCACGCTGCTACGTGGGTCATCACTTTTTTCAAGCTCTCATTCCCTTATCAGTCCGACACATGTGGTAGTTGTGATCATAACTGGTATTTTAACACCATTTATAAATGTAGCTGAATCTGGTGTTTACTGATTTTTCTTCTCTCAAATCACAGCCATCAAAAACATTCCGTCATATTTATATACATTTGAATCACCGCCGAAGAAAACATTCCGTCTTTTCGCATAGCATGACAATCTCCCTGCTTTTCTTTTGAAATTTTTCATTTTGGCAGCTTGTTGTTAAAATACATAGGTAATGAACTGAGAATTTTGCTTTGTAGGATGATTGTCAGACATTAATAGCATCTCATCAAATGTTCAAAGATTATAAAAATGAAGTGAAATGATAAAAGTAAATGTTGGTTTCAGAGTTGAACAATATGTGCAAAACTTACGCCTCAGTGCGCTCCAATCGCAAAAAAAAACGAAAATGAGAATGAATTGTCATTCAAAAGGAATATTCCTTCGCTGTGATTTGTATTAGAACTTGATATTTTTCTGCAAAATTGCTTAGCTCCTTTGGAAAAATCTGACCGGGATAAGCGTCTGCGAGAAGAGCGCATCGATTCAGTAGCACCAGAGAAAGCTATCGAGTACCTGCGCCAATTTTTCTTTTTCTGTATAAATAATGATATCATTAGGACCTGTGTTGCTCATAATTTATACCCTCCCCCCCCCTAATAATAGAATGATCATAATTTGCGTCTTTGCCTCACACACTTAATTTACTTGAGCCTTTCCTGTTTGGCTTTTTTTTTAACTAAATCGCTATTTGTACGTAAGTACAAATTTATGCCTTTTTCTAGGAGAATAAACTCGGACAAGTCACTGGTCGAGGTCAACAACAGCAACCGTCCGAGCCACAGCACAATTCCCAGAACGATCAAGGACATAGCATGAATCAGGGCTATTACAATAACAGCCAAGGCGGATATCAACCGCAGCAGTCTGGTCCAGGCTACAACTCCTATGGCCCTCAGGGCGGCTACTCTCCAGCCCCAGGGGGCTATCCACCCGCCCCAGGAGGTTATCCTCCCGCTCAAGGAGGTTATCCTCCACAACAAGGGGGTTACCCTCCAGCTCCAGGAGGTTACCCTCCACAGCAAGGGGGATATCCACCTCCAGGAGGCTATCCCCCACAGGGACCGTACCCACCACACGATTCGCAACCAGGAGGATACCCCGGAATGCCGCAACCGGGTGGCTACACGCCAAATCAAGGTGCGGCACCGCCAATTGGCTTTAATCTTGGCTATCCCCCTCAGGGACCAACTAACCACTTTCAAGACGCTGGTGCTTATCCTCCTCCACAAGGCGGGATGGGCTATCCACCACAACCGGGATATAACCAACCACCACATGGTGGTTATCCACCCCAAGGACAGTTCGGTCAAGGAATGGGCTATCAGCAGGGCCCCCCGCATCAGGGTATATATGGTAGACCAGGTTGGTTGTACTATTTTTGCGCATGTTTTCGTTATTTATTGCTCTTTTCGTTACCTTGACCCGTAGATCTGATCGATAGTTTGCTGTCCTTTATGCGGCTCTTGTTTGCACGCGGGGCTCATCGCGCTCTTCCACAGGGGCCCTCGCATCTCATTGATGGCTCGCGGACACGGCGCAATCCCTCTTTACACTCTCTTGCGCTCCTGGAGTAATGATGACTTCAGTTTTTGCATGTGCTGGGAGGAATCCTCTAATGTTAACTTTCTCTCAGAGTCTGAAAACACTTTTGCTTTTTCCTTTTTTTTCAGCATCAGAAGCAAAGCGCAAGAGAGTGTGAACTAAACTTTTATTTCCGCCCGATTTTTTTTCGCTGCTATCTATCGTGCAACCCTTGATCTCATATGTTTAGAAAATTCCTTGGAACAGTTTTGAAAATATCTGAACCTGTGATTGTATCTGAAAGTGTTGAGGCAAAATATTTGTTACGCTTGTCAAAATTCACTTTCATTTCTTATCTGTCTAGATTTTTCATAGGGGCATTGGAATTTGGAGGCCTAAGAGTAACGCAAAACTACAATTATTCTTGCCTGGGGAAATTTATTTCAAGGAAATCATGAATGGATTTCCTCCAAGTGAAAATGACGTTTCCACCCAACACATTATGAAGTATTCTCGTTTCTGCGAACTTCATCACATCCAACGCATTTTTGGTTTTTCTTTCCCTTCCCCTCCTCCTCTCTCCTCAAAGAACATCTAACACGCAGTGTCACACATTTGAAAAATGAGTTTTTTTGATATATATAAAACAATGCCAAATTTTGCTAGCACCTGTAAGCGAAAATTTTGCTTGAATATTGTATGCAATTTGTATTCAGCTTAGACCTTTAGGTCAAAATCTGCAATCAAGTTACTAAATCAAGTTTTTTTACTACAGAGATTGATAACACAGAATGAGCTTATAAGTTCGAGTCTACTGTGAGAATTTTACCTAAATTAGATGACATTAGGTTTCACACATGAAGTTAGCCTGACTGCATTTTTCTTCTTGAAGTTTCTATGTTCACGAAATTCAGTTCCTGCTACAACTTCAATCGTTGCTGAGAAAATTCCCGATTTGCTCCCGCAAATGTTCTCCTTGTTTAAGTTCGCATAAGAAATTTATGGAAGACTTTCCCTTGCTGCATGTTCTGTTTTTATTCTGATGAGAAAAAGCTTCGCTCTCACAAATGCAGCGCTGTAATTTAATCAGCCGCTTTCATCCTAAATCTCAACCAACGTCCGCTCACCGTTAGTGTTGCCATAAAAAACATTTTTATCGATCTCCGAATTGCGTCAAAGCGACCAAAGACCGCTCGTATCCCCTGCTGATGTAAAATCCGGTTATTCCTGGCGCATTTGCTGCTTCTCAACCGCATCTGTCTCGTCCGCTTAGTCATCATCATTTCTCAGTTGTACTCCTCGCACTCCGCGCAGGTGAACAGGTCCATGAAGAGGGGCATTAATGGCCTCTGACGTAGGTCTGACTCATAAAACCGCACAAGGGGACGTGAGCAGGCGCCCGCCCCCGTGACTCATCACGCATTTGTGCGCTCTTCCCTTGCTGTTTTTTTATCAGTAGTCTCGGCTCCCAAACTCTTTCAAATTACTGCGCCAGTTCACTCCGTCCAGCCGACAAAACGGGTTGTCAGCCAGTCAAGTCAGACATGACATGTTCTTCTCTTTCTTCCCCATCAAAAATGCGCTTGCGCCACCTTTGTCTCCTTTTTTGTTTACAAATGTGTGCGACAGCTGTTTTAAAGATCTTCTCTCGCTCATCCCGGTTAGAGTGCCCCTCCCTTACCAAGGACATATCTATTGATAGATTTACCACTCTACCGGTTGCGCGCATTGACCCTGAACTTCATGGAGGGTAGTTTTGGGCATACTTCAATTATATTCATCTACCTTGCCGCCTAAAAAGAGTACAGCAAGTAGTTGCATTTAAACTCTTGTCTCAAGAATTCTGTGCTATAGGTTGGTAAACACACACTACTTGAAATTGTATCCGTAGCTCGCATTCCACTGTCTTTTTGCTCATGCCTCAAAATTTCTCAGATGTTATCTGCGGCAGTAAATCTCTTTCCTTTTTTTTCTCTAAGAAGGTTAGCAAATGCGAAAAGAAAACTTGGGGGAATTACGCATGTCTCTTGCTCCACCGCATCCATCATATAAAAATCTTCAGGCTTTTTCATGGTTTAAGTGGTACTATTAATTTTTTTTATTGTAATTCATCAAAAAATCGTCAACATTTCACTTCTCCTTGACCATAACGCTCCTAACTTTGAGGGCGATGTCCGGGGACTTTTTTGAGCTATTATCGGAGTCTTTTCTTATGATCTACTTTAAGTAAATAAGAATTAACCCCATCTTCTGATTTTAGTACGAATTCTTAGAGTCTCATCGTGGGGATGCTTTTGAGGTCTCCTTTTTCAGAAATGATCGGTACCCCGTCGATTCGTCCATATCCAAACTTCAACGCTAATCAAGATGCGGAAACGTTGCGTAAAGCCATGAAAGGTCTTGGTTGTAACAACTCCAAGGTCTGTACACTCTCATCATGACATCCCATTACTCTTTATGGTTTATGTTCTTTATAGGTGGTCAGCGTTCTTTGTGCACGCACGAACTGGCAGAGGCAAGAAATCGCAAGAGCCTTCAAAACGATGTATGGAAAAGATTTGATAAAGGTGAGAGAGTTAGGTGTCATGCGTTCTAGTGGTGAAAACATGTACTCGTGTACAAGAGTATTTGTGAAACTTGTTTTGTCGGCCTACTACTTATTTGGTGGCATATTTTATGCAGATTGTGCGATAGGACTAGTATTTTGAGTTTATGAGGGATCGTTGACACTTTGCTCTGTACTAATGGAAGAGAGATGAGGAAGAGGGAGGAAGGGGGAGGGGGGGGGGGGGAGAGTTTTCTACAGAATTCACGAAGAGGCATGGAGTTAGCTGAGGTCCAGACTTTTCTGTGATACATTTCAACCTTTTAGCAAACTTATGACATCAAAGTTTTCGAAGCTAATTTGAACTTCCGTAAATTTCAAAAAATTATTATGCGTATTTGCAAATCAATACCACGCGTTTTTGAATGTCTACCTCCTGAGGATTTCGAGTTAAGAAGAGTTTTGAAAATTTCTTTCTTTTTTTGTTGTTTAGGTACACTCTGTGAATTACATAAATAATTTCAGAAATACGAAAGATCAAGAGTTTTATCAGTGAAAAACCTTCCAGTTCTTCTACTCTGAGGTATTAATCTAGCGTATATTCTTCGTATCACGATTCTATAACTTATGAAAATGTTCTCATAGTTTAGTAGGGTAGCATTTCATCCATTCTGGAACAGCATACTTCAAAACGCTTTTCACATTTGGTTAATAATTCAATACCCCTACTTCAACTCGTTTTGGATGACATACTGTTTATAATCAGAGGGGAAAGAAGTTGAAACTTGTTAGACGATGTGCATAGTGTTTTCGAGTATTTTCATATCTTCTTTCGAGACTGTTATAATTATATGGTAAAAATTAATCTTTGTTTGAAGAGGTATGCGTAATGTATGCCTCCTCCGCAAGCAAAAATTAGGTGTTCATACCGGTTGTTTTTTTTTTTGAAAAAATGTAGTTATATAGCACATGAATCACGCGCTGGGTACCATCAGGAGAAGAAAGCAATTGTACTTAGATTATTTCTCGCCTGCTGCATAGCTGATTTTTTTCGGACGCAGCAGCTAATTATCGTTGAACAGGTTTGAGATGATAAAGAAATCTGGTGAGTCAAGTAACTAAATAATTTTCTGCTCTTGCTCTTCTATGTCTCTTTTTTGGATCGAGTTAGTCATGTAATCCAAGAATTTTCTCGTTGTGGTGGGGTGAATTCTTAGAATATTACAGGTCTTGCTGCATCTGCATTGAGGAAAATAAGCGGGCATTAGTCATTGGCATAGGAGCATTGCATCGAATTCATAAACAATATTGATTTTTTCTTTAGGATCTCAAGTCTGAACTCTCTGGTGATTTTGAAGATCTCATCCTTGCTCTGATGGAACCTACGGCGGTTTACGATGCTAAACAATTACATAAGGCTGTACAGGTACGTTAGAGAGTTCAGTTTTTCAAACAAGGTTCTATATTTGTTTATTTCAGGGACTTGGCACCAAAGAATCAGTCCTGATTGAGATTATGACATCAAGAACAACACAACAAATTGCTGAGATTCGCTCGGTGTACAAGCAACTTTATCGTAGGGAGCTTGAATCTGATCTGATTGGTGATACCAGTGGATACTTCCAGGTAAAATACATCAATCTCTGTAGAGTCTACCTCAGTCGCAGTGTCTCTGTTCGACCTACGCGGACTTGAGACATTGTGCAGAGTTGCCCGTGTGCCGGAGTCGTGCCAGCTCTGTGTCAGATCCACATCGAGCATGCACGGTATTGATCGACCGACGTCCCGCTACGGGCTAGTGCGCTTTCGCATGGCGCTTGCGCAAGTAATCTTTATGCAGCCTGAGCAGTTAGAACGGCTTCAATTATTGTGAATCAGCACGCGAGTAGCCTGCGTGCGGATGCCTAGATGCGCGCAATGGGGACACTGCAATTGAAACAGACTCTATGTTGAGCACCACATAAATCACTCAGCAATGTTTACTACCTTCCGATGATTGCTGAATAAATCATTGCAGCGCCTCCTTGTTTCACTTTGCGCTGGTGGAAGAGACGAGTCCAACTACACGGATCAGCTTAGAGCTAACCAGGTTGGTATTCCAACACTCCGTGCTGTTCCGCTCGAAATTTCCTAGCAAATAAGCGAATTTCAGGATGCCCGAAGGTTGTACAGTGCTGGAGAACGTCGCCTTGGAACCGACGAAAGTTGCTTCAATCAAATTCTCGCTAGTCAGAACTTCAACCAACTTCGGCTGGTGTTTGCTGAATACGAGAAGGTACATTTCAGCTTTTCATGAAGGAGACATGCAAAATAATCGACGAGTTATATTCTTTAGGTTACAAAGCACTCAATCGAGAGAGCAATCGAGTCCGAATTTTCTGGTGATATTCGAGATGGTCTGCTTGCTCTAGTCGCTGTGGTTCGCAATCGACCCGCATACTTCGCTAAATTGCTCTACGAGAGCATGAAGGTACGGTAGCTGTTTATGAACACACATTGAATCATAATGCAATCTTTATTAAGGGTCTGGGAACTAGAGACAGCGACCTAATCCGTCTTGTGGTCACTCGATGCGAGTACGACATGGCTGACATCAGACAACAGTTCCAGGTAAGCTTAGTTTGATAGTAAAATTGACGTTTTATGCTCCTGCGTTGCCGACAGCACTTGCGCGTGTAAGAATATGCCCTTGATGATCAATGTTTTGCGCAAGTGGCAAGCATGTTTTCGGCAGCACAAGCATGACTTTTTTCGCACAAATGTTGTCACTAGCGCAAGGGGCACTATTTCAATTGAATTTACTATTCGTAAATATTTCTGTAAATTATCTTTGCCAACAAACAGAACTGTTGAAATTTTTTTCAGGCCATGTACAAAACTTCCCTTGAGAATATGATCAAAGGTGACTGCTCTGGAGCCTACAAAGACGGTCTAATTGCTCTTGTCAACGGGAACTAAGTGCATCAATCGTTTTGTACAGAACTTGCATGTGCATTTCTTTTTGTCATAATTATATGCTCTAATTACCAGAAGGTTAACATGTAATTAAAATGTATTGTATCTATCTTTCATAAATTTTTCTATGTACTCGGAATCCTGCATTACGCATATGTTATGTCCGACGCGGTAAGGACAATTCTCACTTCACTTTGATACTTTCTTCATGAGATAAAATTATAATTTATCGCAGTTGCTATTGATAACGCAGATTCCACATTAACAGATCCTTGATTTGAAACTTGATTTGGTTCTCAAAAAATACTGAATAACAATTCAATCGAATAGTCGGCAATATAAGACCAGATATAGGAAGCACTCTTTTTGAAGAAAAAAAACCTGTCTTGTGTGAATGTCTTTTAAGTTGAGTTGACAAGTTGCATTTTCAGACTTTTTTGGAATTCTGATTCAATCTCAATCAAAATTTACATTTGAAACACAACGAATTATGTATATCAGCGTTCGAATTTGGTAACGAACATAATATACAAGTCTTTTTCCAGATTCTCTCATTTCATTCAGAATTATTGACCAGATGACATTTCGTGCTCCGCTCCGTCTCCCAGTTCCATAGCATGACAAAACTCACACCCCTTCCTCAGCATTCCCCCTCTTCCCACTCTCCCCCCCCCCCCCCTTCCCCTCTTCAACTGCTGTTTGTCCCCACGGCAAAAAGTGCAAAATCGGTAAGGTAAATAATATCCTTCGAAAGATAGGAAAGGAAATTTTGCACACGGTCTTTCTCAGCCCTCAAAATTTCCCTTCAAAAACCTTAGGGATATTAAAATTTCGAATTTGGAAAATACAAGCCAGGTGACAGTATAACCATTTTCGAGCTTTCAAAGCACATACTCTTACCTAGTACCACATCTAAAAAGATTGAATCAAACACGCGCAAGAACTCATTACACAGGTCAATCCATAACAGACCAAAATGATTTGTAAGCAATAACCTTGAACTAGACAACGATCTAGGCACAAAATCACGGCATCACTAATAGGTTGGCACGTAAGTTTTGCAACTAATTTTGTAATTTTTCTCTTTTTGAGTGTGACACCTTTATTTTTGGGTGTTATCTAAATTAAGTAGTAGGCTGCAAATGTACACAAAAGGTTTGATTTTTGGTAGCGAGAGAAAATTCACGCATTTTTTGAAAGCAGAACAAATTCGAAAATTAAAAGGGTCCGAAAAACAAAAACACTGTTCTCAGTCTGAATCGAACGTTTCAACAAACTGTATAGATCATTAAGGATTCTCCTATCAACAATCTGAGTAGAGTTTACACTTGATGTGTTTGATTTCCGAGTGGAAACAACTTTATTTTTGGCTTTCTGACTCTTTGGATTTTGACCCATTCCGAAAAAAAAATGCGTAAATCTTCACTTCGCTACCAAAAACTAAACTGTTTGCACATATTTAGAGCCTACCCAATCTACATCAAGCCCAAAAACGAATGCGTAACAGTCAAAAAAAAAAAAGAAGAAAAGTTACGAAATTAGTTACAAAATTTATGCGCCAACTACATTCTAACCTGCTGATAAACCATAGCCAAAATATTATGAAATGCACATGTTGGTTGTGCTCAGAAGAGATTAGATAGTAGCGATTTCGTACTTAGCAAGTGCCTTCAAGATATTTACATATTAATGAAAGCCTGTGTTCCATAAAGTGGCAATGCTTGGCAGCCTATATCCAAGTACCTTAAAGGCAGCGGCTCGGCAGGCTTTCGACTTCGGGGTTTTGGCAGATTTGGGGCTATTCCGGCCCCCTGAATCACGACATGAACTCCCCTTAGCGCGAAAATGGGGAAAACCCCGTCTTTTGAAACCCCCCTTGAGACAGGCGCGGACGAGTGAGCCGTTTTTCTCTGCCGTCAGAGACGCAGAGTAAGGAGGTAGAGAGCGCTAGAACAATTCTGCCCTACGAAGCTACGAGTGACGGCGCGTTTTCTAGCGGAGAACATACTCGTCCGAACAAGGTGTTGGGGGAGCGAAAGGAGGAAGGGGAGCGGCGGTTGAGACGCCCCCTGGCTTGCAGAGTTCACATTTTCGGCGCGGAGTTGCTGTTTTGGTTCACTTGGAAGGCCTCCTATCCATCTGTGTCAAAATCTGAGGTAGGTTCATTCTGCCGAGACGCTGCCTTTAACCGCGCGGAGTCTATTCTGTAGATATGAAAAATCTACTTCACTTATCTAAAATAAGACATATCAAAATGAAGCTTCATTTATTTTGCAAACTATACTTGAAGACAAACTATACTTCAACACATAAAACTAACAACGCCAGGATCTGCTCCAGTATGCGAAAACACTGGAAATAAAGTGAGACAAAGTTGAGAACATTCGAGGCAAGATCAAAGGTCCAACTATTACTTCACTCAGAAAAAAGGATAAGATTCTGCAGCCAATCAGAAGAATATCTAGCTGCGTTCGACTTACACTTCTCATGAAAATTTGGCCAGGATCTCAAAGCAGAAATTTATGAGATTATACTTTCAACTTCTTTCGAAATTCCCTATTCTTTACATTTTTATATAGTTTTTGCGAAGCAGCAAATGATTATCGGATAAAGGAATGTTCACGCTTTGAAGAGCAGATTTTTAGAAATCACAAGCATGTTTCAAGAATTTTGATGATGATTTTATGTAGAGAGTTTTTTACTGCGACATCGATGTGCAAAATCATCTTTCGTTACCATTTTCCTTGCAGATTCATTTATTGTAAAAATTATTTGACGAAAAGACTTTCGAAGTGACCTAACGGAGGAAAAAAGAAAAAATCTTAAATGACTTGACTGTATCAGGTTGGCCATGATGCAGTCATGAACACCACATGATCCAAATCAAAGCAAAAACTTCTACAGAATATTATCAGACTACCACGTAAAATAAGTCTGGCATTCAGAAAATTAGTGGGAAAGTACTCGGATAGTAGAGAAGGGTTTTTTATGAAGGTCGGTAGTACATTAGGTGGTAGGGATGGGGGTAAGCGATGGGTGGCATACCCAGCGATGGCGCAGATGCTGGTCTTGGCTGCGGCACTCCGGGTGGCGGTGTTCCTTGTGCTAATGGTTCGGGGTAAGGCATTCCAGATTGAAGAGGCAGTCCTGCACCGTGAAAGACATTAGTAGAGGAATATAAAAGTCAAGACGAATTGTGTGAAAAACGAGTTAGCCACTAAGTTTAGCGATAAGGACATGAGCTCATTAAGGACGTGGCAAGCAGGTGCAACAGTTTCTTGCCTTCAATGAAGCCGCAAAAATCTTTGAATGTGACGACAAGAGGAAAAACTCAAAAATAAACTCACCGAACTGATTGTATATGGGAAAAGGATGCGGTGGCATCGGAAACTGACGAGGCATCATATAGGGGTAAAGTGGCGGTGGCTTAGAAGCAGAACGTAAATTAGTTCAACACTAATGAAGATACTTACAAACGGCGGAGGAAAGAACGGAAATGGGAATGAAGGCGGAGGAGGCAGCGCATCGGGCCGGTTGTTCGACGTCTGATCTCTATAAATCGTTTGCAAAACAAACGCCACAGAAAAGCGTAGAAGCTACTCACATTTCTCCTTCCTCATCAGGAGCATTCACTATACCACTACTTTCCTGAACATTTCGAGGTCCATTGTACACATCTTCTTCATCTTCTTTGATATCAGCTGAAGTTGATGGGCCACTGCCAAGGGTTCGAGAAGCAGGTAAAGGAATCTCAAGTGCTGGAATACGTTAAAGAGATAGTTGATGCGGTGCACGAGGGTAAATGAGAAGATATACCAGAGCTTGAGGCATTACTCTCCAAAGACACAGGCGGTGCGTAAGCGGTGGTGTGATGTGCATTACTTGGTGCTGGATAACCAGTCGTCTCATTCTCTAATTGAGGACTAATACAGCTGTCCGATAAGATGTGCGGATCTGGTGTTCTTGGTCCCGACTGAAATATCAGGGCGGCGCATCAGCTCAGACAATCGCTGGGGGCAGGCGGGCACCGGAAAAATAGATTGCTGATTTCTCGCACCCCGCTCGCGGATTTTTTGGAAAGCAATCAGGACCTTTCAGAAGACCGCTCGCTGAGTCAGCGGATTTTTGAGAGACCACCTGTTGAATTTTTTTCGCTCTTATCTTTTGCAGATATATTGTCGAATCTCTGAGGAATCGAGAACTCAGCAAGCGGTCTTCCGAAAAGTCCTGATTGCTTTCCAAAAAATCCGCGAGCGGGGTGCGAGAGATCAGCAAACTATTTTTCCGGTGCCCGCCTGCCCCGGCGATTGTCTGAGAGGGTCCTCCAAAGGCTCGCCGCTTCTTCTCCAGGCGCGCCCGTGGGAGGTAATATTCACTTCGTGCTTATCTCGCACCTACGTCGCACCTATCTCGCACATTCCTGCATAAGTTCCCCTCCAAACAGTGCCTTGTTTCTCCTGGCATTAATTAGAAAAGGACAGCATATAGGCGAGTAGATAATTTATGAGAAGAATGAAAGTATTGTGAGAACAGACATCAAAACAAGCCGATCGACAAGAAAAATGCTTTCGTGAGCATTGAAGATGTGGTAGATGAGATTAGGGGTATCGAACGCAAATTGAATGTTTTATCAGTTTACAATGCTCTTTTGGACAAATTAGATATGAAAAATACAGATGAATGGATCTATAATCATTGTTTTTAAAGAAGATGAGCACAGAGAAATTTGAACAAACATAGCAATAAGGAAGGAACCAAACAAAAGTTTTGAGTGATAAGTCTTTCGAAGACCTAATGTAGTTAAACAACATCTGCTCAGATAATCGCCGGGGGCAGGCGGTCCGCAAACTCGCGCTTTTCTGCAGGCGGTCAGCCGAATTTTGGGGCGTGGCCAAACCTTCAGCAAGCGGCACTTCCTTTACGGTCGCATATTCTGCCAGCGGGCAGCAATACAGCATTTTTTGCAAGCGCTCGGCAAATAATTTCTTTCAGCGAGCGCTGGCCAAACTTTCAGCAAGCGCTCGAACTCTTTTTAGGCATTTTCGGGCGTACGTCGAGGGTAAGACTCTATGTGGCAGAGTTGTCACCATTGGTTTAATTACTCAAGTTTGAGGTACTTTCTCCCAGCGGGAAGTACCTGGGGGTTGCGCGGTCCTCCACAAAGGACCGCGCGGCCCTCGAAATTTTTGCATATTCTCGCGGAAAGTCCGCGAGAATGCGGCCACTGCGCCGCAGCTAATCTATGAGGAAACCGCGATTGTTCTTCAAACATTCGTCTTTAATTTCGCCAACTTTCTTCCAAATTTCTGCAAGCGGGCCGCAAAAAATCAACGAACTATTTTTCCGGTGCGCGCTTGCTCAAAATTCGCATGGCCGCCTGCCCCCGGCGGTTATCTGAGTGGATGAGTCAGCGCTCATAAGATTAATTATAGTTCAAACGGCCAGCTTAAATGCAAAAAAGATGACTCCAAACAGTCATACGGAGCTGTACATTTTCAAAAATATCTGTGACTTAACCCTTGCCCTCGAGAAGACCTCAGCTTTTACCCTACTCTCACCTACCACATCCTCAATGGCCACGATCGGAAGCACTTTCTTTTCAGCAATTTCATTTTTGAGAATTATCAACTCGTCGCTATGTGCTGTCCTTTCTAATTAATGCCAGGAAAAACAAGGCCGGAGGGGAACTAATGCAGGAATGTGCGAGGTAGGTGCGACGTAGGTGCGAGATAAGCGCGAAATGAATATTACATCTCACGGGCGGACCTGGAGAAGAAGTGGCGAGCCTTTAGAGAATCCTGCACACCCTCCAAATATCAGAATCCTCTCCTATAATATAAACCCGATCCCAAAAAACGAGACGGCGAGGATGGTCCTCCCACATGTATGCTTCAGCGGGTGTTTTGAATAGACGCCAGTTTCCGAACGGGGCCTTATTGTGTAGAGACGCGACGGTGCGATCATGAGGTCAAGAGGACGCAGAGGCCCTAGCGCGAACGAGAGGCCACGACACGCAGGGTACGCTCTGCAATGGGTGTGTTGAAAGACGCAAGCGCGTGCCAAGGGTGTTGAAATTGCGAGCTGGACATTGTTGCACAGTTAGTTATAGAAGCATACCATTTGATCCGCTCACATTCGACCTCAGTAATCACTATGCTTCCACTTTTCCGCCAAATTCTGAGAAAATCTTCGAAAATCTCGCTTTTGGGAGCTTTTGCTTTGGGTGAATCCGATTTTTCTCTCCAGATTGTAAGCGTGAGTGCGTGAGTGACATTGCGAAAGGAAGCTGTACAGCGATGACTGGGGCAAGACAAAATTTTAGCACGATATGATCCACTTTCCTCCCATTGAAAATACCTCTGAAAATGTTACTTTTGAGCGGTTGTGGCAATACATGTACTGATAAGTTGAAATTTCACTTGAGAAAATTATAGGTATGAAAGATGTTTATTTATGGGTGTGCCCTACCCGCTTGCTAGCGACCCGTAGGGTCGCTAGTCTTATATGTAAAGCTGAATGTCTGTCTGTCTGTCTGTATGTCTGTCAGTACGTATGTGCGGAATAGAAATTTTTATTTCTGAACCGATCGGGACCAAACTTGGCACACACATATTTCGGGGCAGGGAGCGTGTCATAGGCTACTTTTCGTCGATCGATATCGATTTTATCGATTTTTTGCAAAATTTGAGCTACAGGGCTGGGAGTTGGCCCAGAGGGGTAATCGAGCATGCTGATTACAAATATATTATTGATAGGCGGAGCCAGGTTTGCCAACTAGTGTAATATAAGGAGAGTTCCCAAACAGTGCTCACAATTTTGCAAGTAAGAGCTCGTGCTACAAGCCTTGTGAAATTGTCAAAGCTCCTATTATCCTATCGAAATTCGATCAGCTCAATAAATCTCTCGGAGGCATGGGTACCGCCGCATATCTTCTTCATTTAAGGTTATAGACTGCCAAAATTTTGAAAAGCATCCCAAATTCTGGGGCTTGGTAGGCCACGCCTCTTATTTAAAAAAGGTTCTGTCCCCTCAAAAGCCTTGTGCTGCCATGCTACTGTTTACTCTAAGTTTTAAATTCCGAGAATTTTCGCTGCAAATAGAATGCAAAAAAACTCAAATGCTAAGTGCGTCCAAGCTATTTGTCGCGATCAAGAACTCAGTGGACGTAAGTTCCTTACACTATTTACAGCGTTTCCAGCAATCTGCCACGAACTTTGACCAGACTACTTCGTAAGCGAGAGGAAGTTTGACAGATTAACAGCATGCAGACAGAACAAGCTTAAACTCACAAGGGAAGGATATTTGGTAGAAGTGGGTTTCCACATAAAATATATACCGTCTTATAGAGCATGGAACGCTAATTCCAAATCTGCTTTTCTTATCTGCAAAGCATTTTTGAAAGGGGAGTTCTGGGAATTTTTATTGGTAAAAATTCAATGGTTTGGCTAAGGTAAAAGCAGGTGTTAAGATCTTTCCGGTGCTTGAAAGGAGTAATCACTGACAAGTGTTTATCAGATTGAAGGTAGTATTGCATAAAACACTCTGGTAGTGATTATAGCTCCATTCGCGCTCGAGACGGCACTTTGAATGATTTATGGTAGTCGCGCATTCGGATTTTTGCTCCAAGAAATTCCCCCAACTTCCCTCCCAGAAGCGCTTTGCAGATATGGAAAGCAGATTCGGAATCAGCGTCCTAAGCTTTATAAGACAGTATCCATTTCATAATAAAACGCCACTTCGACAAAGTATCCTTTCCTTGTCAAACTCAGCCACATGCCCAGCAGCGGAAGAATTTCTTACAAGATTTCGAATTTTAAGGAAAGTTCTTTTGAAAATCGCTGATTTGCATGATGCGCAAGTGCTCAGAAATCTTTGTCGTGAGTTTTAAAACGGCACACTATCCACGTCAATGGAGGCTTTCCGGACAAAAGCGGATAACCATAAGGAGCAGGCCCTATATAGGTGAAGGCTACGGCAGGACGAAGGCGCTTGAGCAGTATTATTCTAATTTCACGAGTACAGGACGCAATTGTCCCTTTCCTAAATTCGACCAGTCTGAACACACTAGAACATTTCGCAACCAAAGGACCCTATACGATGTTGCGTATTGCCTGAGGGTATCGTGCGGCAAAAGTTCCGTTTTCCGAAACAAAGCGAGGCAGCTGAGCGACTAGTTGAAATTTCTAGAAAAAGTGCATCCCATATTTGAAGTTAGGGTAGTTGAGTGGGCGCGAACGCGCGTATCTTCACCTAAACCTGACCCTCTTCGCTCTGCGATTATACAACCAGGTTTTCGCTCCCGAGTCATGCGCCTTCGTCCGTCAGTACCCCACAAGTGTGAGCGAATGCAACGCGTAAGCGGTTTTCGACTTCTTTGCATGCACATTTCAATGATAATGAGGGTTCGGTATTCGCAAGGACATTATCCTATCTAGGACTAACCTTTACCTGTTCGTGGGTTGGGGTCTTCGAGCCATGAATTCGAGGACTACGCGACTGCCGTCGCGACAAGCGCGGAGAAGAAGGATTCTCCTCCCGAAGCCCATCTTGTCTGCTCTTTTTATTGAGCATTCGAACCGTTGTAGCAGAACGTTTCTTAGCATCTGAACAAAAAGATCACCATGGATGGCAGCCGCCGCCAGCAGCCCGTAGCCACCTCTGGCCGCTTTTGTTCACAGAAGCGCGAAATCATCGTATTCTTAATACTTTGAGCGAACCCGCCCACACTTTCCATCTTCCAAGCTTTTTTTCTTCCTGTTGCCTTCGGTATGCTTCGATCTTATATATCTTACTTCTCAATTCCTCTCTCACAGTTAAACCATAGTTTGTCAAAGTTTCTTCGCGGTGTGAATTCCTCTGACTTCGGATGCGTCCAGTTTCTGCAGGCGGTGTGCTATTTGTTTATTTTTGAGTATGGTTCTGCTTCGATTTTTTCCTTGGCTATCGGTGCTTATCTTGAATACCTCCATAATGTGGGAAGAGCACAAAAGCGTGGAAGATGGAAGGTGTGGGCGGATGACTTAAAGGCAGCGTCCAGGCAAAATTTCGAACAAAACTTTTTTTCGCTTACCTGGGCTTATTCTTCCCGCTGATTGCGAAAATGCAGCTTGCAGAGTACGAAAACGTCGAAAATGGGCTATTCCAGAGGCTGTTTATTTTGAATATGGAAGCTTGCCGCCGAGGTTAAGACGCAGAGTCGTGGTGGGACCCTGCGCCTTGACTGTGTGCGACATACGCGTACTCTGGCTATCGATTGAGGGGCGGGCATGTCGCCGGGGCGTTCCTGTCGCCACTTCTGAAGCGGTTTTCTCGCTTCAGAAGCAAATTAGTGTGCTGCCAGTTGGGCAAGGGCTTTACCAGAGCGGAAGCTCCTGTATGCAAAAGTTTCATATCTACCCGGGCGCTGCCTTTAACACGTTTCGGACCGCGAAGTCGCGCGCGGCAAAAAGAGGGTACTTTCAGCCGTTAGCCAAGAAAGAGGCCTTAATTTGTATACTGCATGCTACATCTGTAATCAGCATGTCAGATAAGATTCATACCCAAGGTTCTGAGTGAATTCGAAGTGTTTGAATTTTGTCGCCTGAGAAGGACTTCTGTGCTCTCCTGAAAGATAGGAACAAGAACTCACAATCAGTTCCTGATTGTATCCAAAAGTATGTATGTTGTACGCGATACACATCATTATTGGAACTACGGTTTTTCTCTTTGAATTCGAAGCAAAGAAAAGTTGCGACGTCGCATGCGTCGTTCGCGTTGTCGCACTTCGTTGCAACTGTTGCTCGAGTTGTCCTCATATCTCCTAAACAAATATCGGCGGCACAGCCTTGTAGAGTCATTTGAAAAGGAGAAGCTTAGGCCTTTGACTTGATAACCTTGGACAAGAAGAAAACTTCCTGCAAACACTAAAAAGATCCTTGAAAGGCGCGTGCTGTGCACCATGTGCAGCACTGGTCCGAAAGTGTTAAAGTAGTAAGAACTGGATGATTTCATGCTTCTATGAACAAAAGCGGCCAGCGGCGGCTACGCGCTACTACGGGCTGCTAGCGGCGGCTGCCGGCGAGGTATGAAGTCTGCTAAGCTATAAGAAGGGACCAAACAAACTCTTATCACATTGAGCTGTCGTTGAAGAATGCTCGGATTTGGACTGTGAAGCGGACTCCTTCGCATCTAATGGTGGAGGTGGAGGCGGCGGAGGAAGCAAAACACGATGATGGTCTGAATATGATTCTTATGACGATTTATCGTAAGCAAACTCAAAAGTATTGGAATTCTAGTAGTCTGGAATTCACACCGTTAATAGTGTTTCCATGAACGTCCAGCAAAAATGGTAAATTCTGAGCAGACGGCGGTGATGGAGAAGCTTGATTTGTATGAGCAGCTGTAGCCGCATACGACGAGAATGTAGTGATATTCGCGGCCAGATCGGGAGAAGACACCTCAGCCCTTGAGCACGGTTCGCTATGCTGTTCTTCCTCCACTTTCACGACAATCTCTACAAAATCGCCCTATGACTGACATTATTAATGCCATATTTTACAGTTTTGCAACCCTGCAGTGGTCTCTGTGGCTGAGCCTCGCAATTGGATGTAGAAGGATGGGCACTGGGTTGATTGGACAAAACTTCCGAGCGTGAGAGATCGTTATTGAACAAATGCGGTTTGCGCACAGAACTATTCCATTTTTTCACCGCTCGATTTTCGCCATCTTCATTCATGCGGATGACTGAATTTCTGTAAACAACAGCTTCACAGGAGACTAATCATTTTGAGACATCCTTTGCGTAAGAGAAACTAACATACCCCTCTTTTACGAAGTTCGACGCAGATCTACCACTGCGATTCTGAGGCAAAGGAGGACAGTTTCCGGGTAACCTGAAGAGAGGTAGCATCCTGCTCAACTATTTATTTTGCACTGCACAATTCCAATAGCTCAGATCCAGCTCAACTTTAAAAAGAAAAAAAAACTAACTGCAGCTTTTCTTCATCATCATAGTATTGCACCCCTTGCGGATAATGCAGCGGTGTTCGCGATGCCACTCGAACTCTTCCTGTAGAACATTGAACAAAAATCATCGTGAAATTTAATTTTTTTATAGGGTATCCCAATAATCCTTGAGCTTAATCTCGTAACGCAACTACTTTTTCAGTATATGCCGCATTCAAGTCAAATTTTGCAAATGAGTTCGTCGTAACTCCTGAAGAATTATACTATTACATTTGCCACCACCCACTTTCATGATTTCTAAAGCAGATAGAACGACGATTTTGAATTTGGCTCTGGACATGAATAGCTCTTCTGTTCTGAAAGCTTTCGCGAATCAAGTTTCACGATACAGGGTCAGTTCATTTATTTACCAGCAAACGCAAACTTACATATTGAAAACTCTGTGTATGCAGAAAGAAACCTCTGTTGTAATCTAGATTTATCTTCTTTTGGCAAAAAGTGTCTGTTTCTTGCCAAAGTCAGAGACGCAGAACAAATCTCTCAGCCTGTCTTCACACAGAAAAAGATAAGAGTACTTAAAATAGTGTTTTGCCCCAAAGACAGAAGTTTAACAACTGAAGCTAAGACCTATAATATTAAACCAGCCTTTCTTATTGCAATTATAAGGATTGCATTTTCCATGGACATATTTTTTGAAGATTACGAAGTGGATTTCCAGCTGTCTTACAGAACATGGAACGGTGATTCCAAATCTGCTTACCGTATCTGCAAAGCGGTTCTGGGATGAGAGTTGTGGGAATTTTATGAGGCAAAAATTTCAGGGATTGGCAAAGGTAAAGACTGGTGTTGAGATCTTTCCAACCTCGAGAGGAGACTAGCATAAGTTTATTAAACTGAAGGTATTAATGCTTGAGAGCCCTGGCAGTAATCATGGCCCCATTTGAGCTCAGACTCAGCTCTAAATGATTTTATTGTAGCTTTGCTTGAAACTTTTGCGTCAAGAAATTTCATAACTCTTCTCCCAGAAGCGCTTTGCAGATACCAAGCAATTTAGAAACAGCGTTTCATACTCTGCAGGACAGTTTACATTTTATGTGGAAATGCACTTCGACCAAGTATCTCTATCGCTCCCTGGTCAGAAATTGATTGCAATCAAAAAAGTCTTCAGAATCTTCAAAAACTCATTTTCATTAGTGTTTTTGATCGCGGTAATCAATTCCTTTGACTATTCCTTGCACTAGATAGCAAGGCTTATTTCTCACCAAAAACTAGACGCTTGTGTGCCGATAATGTCGGCACCTTTCATTACTATTCTCACTCTTGTCGAAGTACTGTAAACGTGCCATGAGCATGACCTATTAAGGCACGAGTATCATTATCGCCCCGATATGTGTTTGTTTATCTACATCCCCACTATAATCCGAGCATTTTGCCACTGCTCCAAAGCGAGCATGTCAGGGCTCGGCACGCGAGTGTTAGGAGCATTTTTGGAAACGAAGTCCCCTATGTTGCGAAAATTTACGAAGTCCCTTTTGACGTAAAAGTCAGTAGGGAAATCCACAACAAAACATAACGATGAAAAAGCGAAAAAAGCGAATTTTGAGGTACCTAATATAACAAAAAACATTCTGAATCGATATAATTCTTGAATATCGTACCATTTTAGTGTTCAGAACGTTGAAAACCTCTTAGGCCAACCAAATCTGTAACCTAAACAATCCGGCGATGCATTTTTCGCCACAACGGATTGATTGTTACCGATTATTATTATATTATTGACTAGCTGGCTTACCCGGCTCCGCCGTATGTTCCGAATAGAAAATTCCATTTCTTAACCGATCCGGACCAAACTTGGCACACATACCCTTCGGGCCCCGGCGGGTGTCACAGTCCACTTTTCGTTATCGATCGATGTCGATTTTATCGATTTTTTGCAAAATTTGAGCTACGGGGCTGGGAGTTGGCAGAGGGGTGTAATCGAGCATGCTGATTACGAATACAGTATTAGTTTTCGAAACCGTGCATTACTTTTATCGATTTTATCGATTTTTTGCAAACTTTGAGCTAGGGGGCTGAAATTTGGCAGAGGGGTGTAATCGAGCATGCTGATCACCCTCGTGGAGGTGATCAGCATGCCCGTGGGGGTGATCAGCATGCTCGATTACACCCCTCTGCCAAATTCCAGCACCCTGCTCAAATGTTGCAAAAAATCAATAAAATCGATATCGATCGATGACGAAAAGTAGCCTATGACACCCGCCGGGGCCCGAAGTGTATGTGTGCCAAGTTTGGTCCGGATCGGTTAAGAAATGGAATTTTCTATTCGGAACATACGGCGGAGCCTGGTAAGCCAGCTAGTCTTCTATATATTCAGAATCCGCTTACCATGCGTCGTAAACAACTGGATATGCCAAATCGCTTCGCGACCAGATTGCGTGTATGTATATTTTCCATAGCAACTACGCAGGCGAGCGATACGCCCGCGAACGCAACACGTTGCTCTAGCGTTGCGCTTGAGCTGATCGGAAAAGGAGCACATCATTGACAAGACAGTATGCCCGAAGCCAACTCTCTAATACTTTCTCGGAAGTCGCCAACGCTACGCCTTTTCATCTAAAAGCGTTTTTTTGTCCCCTCCTCCAAATAAAACCCTAGTCGTCGATCTTATCTTTTTAAGGCCTCGGGCAGAGTTCACGCATTCATGGTCGCGATTCATCGCTGCAAGACAAGTGTTACGAGTTCATTGCGCCGATCTTCTCATATTTCCGTCATGATAGTTAGTCACGATTAGTCGTGTTGGAAAAAACTTGACATATTGTTACAGTTGGATGAAATCGCGTGAACTTTGTCCGAGGCCTAAAGCAAGAGATACCATTGAGGACCGGGCATACTTCACGCGATTTCAGTCGCGACGCTATTTGACAATTCGGCAGAAGTTTTCAGATCCAACACTAGCAAACTGCACATGCATATTGTGTATTACTTACGTGGATTGATAAAATGCACTATCTTCTGAACATTTGAAATGTGGGTACTTTTCCACATTAGTTGAACCCAAAACATCAAAATCCTGTCGCTAAAACTTCGTCTAAGGAGGGTATTTGGTACGCTGAACACGAATATGGTGTTAATTTCGCGCTACCGCACCATCGGGTTGTTTCATACTGCCGCACTGATCGCAGCAGACTGCAACTGACTGCACTGACCGCAGCAGACTGCAGCTGACTGCACTGTCCGCAACGGCCGCACAGATCTCCGCATCTTTTTGTAAAAGAGAAAACAATTGCGAATACTTCAAAACACCGTGCTTTACGCCTAGAAGAAAGTTTACAGGTTCTAACTTACTCTTTTTAATTAAATTTTGGTGATTGTTCTTCTTTAATATGCTCATATTTGTTCTGATTCCTTCTGTCATTGCACATACCTATTTTACTCTCGCTCTTGTGTTGTCTTTTGGAGCATATATTGTTAAGAGACTGTTTACGCTACAATTATTCATCCTCTCCACTTTTACGAAAGTATGCAGCGATCTGTGCAGCCTGCGGTTAGTGCGGTCAGCTGCAGTCTGCTGCAGTCACAATATTACTTCTTCAGCCATCGTTCGGCCGTCTTACAGTATTTTACGCGCGAAATATAATGTGCTCGGTGCAAGTCCAGAATGCCTGTTATGTATTTCACGCCTTTTTCTCACATTTGCGTATGCGGAACGTTGGCTGAGGGGGTATTTTCCTTTCTAACTTCTTCTAAGTTCACTCAAACACACAGTTCGATAATTCATCCTATTGTGGTATGAATAGCAATGCTTTTTGAGTCCGTATTGTGTCGCCTTCCCTGGCTTTTGCACGAATAAGCTGAAGTAAGCGAAGGCAGTCAATCTACGAAAACAGTTCTTTATGGAGGAGATGCCATGCACGGAAGTGTCTAACGTAGGGAATCTCTACAGAAAATGACAGTAACTTCCGCCAGGTTTTTGTTTTCGTAAGCATTTTTCGCGCTAAGATGAATGGAAGAAAACAGGAAGTAAATACTTCCAAGTTCTCATATCCTTTGTGAATGATAACGTAGTTTTATAATGTAGACAGTATAGATGTACTCTTAACCATATATCACAATTGTAGAAGTCTGGCCAGTTGGCCCGATTTCATTCGAAAAAAAAGAAGAGATCGCCGCTCGCAGAATACTGCACTTTGCCCGAACAAGATCTGCTCTCAGAGAGCACGGTATCCCACGCAAGTGGATGAACATGAAAACATATGAGTGTGGCCAAACTCTAAGACTTTCTTCATCCTCCATCTTCGTAGTAGAGCGAAAAGTTTGCGATGCTGAGTTCAAATGCGATTTTTTTCAGAGCCTGTGTTACTACTACCCAACGACGCCATCTTAGGTGCACGTCTGATATCTTCCGCTTAACGTCTCCGCCTCCACACGGCGTTCATTTCATTTTATGACTATACTCTATTGATGTAAAAGACAAAAGTGATGCTTGCACTCAATGGTATCCATTTGCGCGGTGCTGCGAATCCTCTACCAACAAGATCAAAAACTTGTTTCTACAAGTAGCCAAGTTGAACGGTGTGTATGAGTGCCTTCAAGGTGATTTGAAGCTAAGAGAAGATGGACTAGTCACCCAGTTCACGAAGAGCCAAAGTCTTCCATTGTGTCAAAGAAGACAGGTTGTGCTTTGCCAGCTATTGCTTAAGGAAAAACCTTCTACTCATTATACTGCATGCGTAAAAAGCCCTCGATCATGCCACTGAAAGTACTCTCCTTGGCTGCGTGACAGCAGAGCTGTTCAAGTTACTTGGGATGTGAAGTATATGCATATACTTCTATATGAGGTAACAGGTTTTTTAACCCGTCAGTACATGAAACGAAGGCTATACAAACGCAAAATTGGTAGACTAGGTGATAAGCTGAATGAACGCTCTGCTATGACCAAAGTATTGTGCCAAAACTGACGCAGTAATGCCTCGAACGATGAAGCTATTGAAGTCAAAACAAACTTACGATACTTACCCACAGCTAGTTCTTACTCCATAAGTAGCCTGATATACAGTCCACCTCTTGTTATTTCTCAAAAAACAGACTGTATATCAAAAGCTGCTTTCCCTTTCACACAACGACTAAGTTCGTGACAGGGAGCTTAAGGAACATTGACTGGAAGAATCCATCAGACAGCCATATCAGGCGACAAACTTGTTATCTGTGTGCTTCCACAAAAAGCAGAAGTTCCCTTGTGCTTCGTTTGTTTTGCCACAAAAGTTATAGATGTGCCAACTATTCGACAAGATTCCGTATTGAGAATCAGAATCACATCAACATCTCCTTTAGCTCCAAGCGCTATGTATGATCAGAGTTCGAATAAGCAATAGACGCTGACTTGAAGTCATCTGATAAATGGTGGGAGATGTTTAGAAGAGGTGCGTTCCCATCATATCTCTTGCTGCCCGAACTGCGAACTTAAGAAAGATAGAACAAAAAATACTTCTCCAGTCACCGTTCGGAATGATACGCCAAATCTGAGAAGGCGTGAAATACATAACAAGCATTCTGGACATGCACCGAGCACAATATATTTCACGCGTAAAATACTGTAAGACGGCCGATGGCTGAAGAAGTAATATTGTGCTGCAGTCTGCTGCAGTCAGCTGCGGTCAGTGCGGTCAGCTGCAGTCTGCTGCAGTCTGCTGCAGTCTGCTGCGGTCAGTGCGGCAGTCTGAAACAACCCATCAGGTGGAGTTATAGTGGGATTACGGTAGGTGGGTCAAAGTTACGGATTTGCCCAAAACTTCGTTTATGGAAGTTATTTAGCGTGCTGATCACGAATATGATGTTTCTTTCGTGTGGTAACGCCATCCGGTGGAGTTACGGTATGATTACGGTAAGGGCTAAACACGAATTTGCCCGAAAGTCTACCGTAACTCCACCAGATGGCGCTGGCGAAACAAACATCACATTCGTGTACAGCATGCTAAATAACCCCTCTAAACGAAGTTTCGGGCAAATTCGTGATTTTGAAGCCCTACCGTAACCCCGCCGTATCTCCACCGAATGGAGCGCTACCGCGCGAAATAAACAACATATTCGTGTTCAGCGCATCAAATAACCCCTCTAGACGAAGTTTTAGCGAATTTCATCACTTTTTGGGTCACCTAATGTGGAATAGCACCGAAATGTGTTTACGGTGAGTTAAGGACAATTGGAAAATTGCCAAATCGCGTGCGCCTGAAATCGCGTGAAGTATGCCCGACCCTTTAGAAAAATCATTACACCGCTTATTAACATAGCACATGAACTCGCATCTAGAGTTGCCCGCGCTACCGCCATGCTAGCGCCAGCTGGAATGATAAGTACAAGAAGGGTCCACGTGAGGTCGGCATGGCGCTAGCACGGCAGGCAGTGCAAGAAAACACGGGCAACTTTGCACGCCGCATAAGGAATATTTTCGAAGTGACATCAATCAACTATAGTACGATAAGTGGATACCTTGAGGAATTGGAACAGGTCCGTGTTCCTTGACAACTTCATCCAAGCTCGCTGATGTTTGAGGTCCAACCGAACTCGCGGGTGGCGCACCCGGCATGTCATCCAGCACAGGTGCTATCCATTTATGTGCAAACGCAAAAAAGCTCGTTTCTCGCTTCATGTCTTCGAGAGTGATCCCACTTTTGAGCGATATGAACTGCTAAAGCGTAAGCAGTAGTGATGTGGAAAACTCAACTTCTATAGCAACCTCTCCATCGCCTCTTGCGTTGCATTTACATCTCAAACACATCCCTTTCAAGAAAAAACGTACTCCGCACTTTCTGCAGTAGTAATTGAAAATGCGATCTGAGCTGTAAATGTGATACTGTGATATAAAATTCAATGCAGGAAAGCTTGCTCACCCTTCTTGTCGAGCGAAATGTGCTGCGACATGATCCATTACAGAAACAATGGAAAGACTCGTTTTCTTCAGGCACCCTTCAAACTTACATCGAAACCGTAGCTGTTTTCCGGGCGGAATAACTATTACGTCGCGGCTCGAACTTGCTTCCTCCATCATCGTAGAGTCCTTTCAAACATATGCCAACTACCTATAATCTTCTTTAGCGTTGTAGAAAACATAGGAATATTAATCTTGTACTGGACATTAAGAAAGCGAGTCATGAGGCGTGTAAGACTAATATCAAGAAAGCAATTTAGAAGCATGTGTAAGATAAGTGGGTCCATGAACGTATTTTGGAGAAATAGACCGGTGTAGCTGAAAGTGAACATTCTGCAAGACTTTAGAAAAGTAGCACTGGACCGATGCATGATCTGTAATTTTCTTTAACTGCGTCCAGAGTTGCCCAGTGCCACCGCCGCTCTAGCGCCGTGCTACGGCCGTGTCAGCCCCCACGTTGAGCCCCTGTACTTCCATTTACATTGAAGGCGCGACAACTCAGGACAGCTTCGATATGACCCAGCCGGGACTTTGTCTTGCTGTCCTGGCAAAACTCCTGCCTAACTGGCAATGCCCCAGTTTGCTTCTGAGGCGAGAAAATCGCTTCAGAAGTAGCGATCGGAACGCCTTGGCGACTGGAACGCCTTTAATCGGTAACCCAGAGTGCGCATATCGCTTACAATCAAGATGTCCCACAAAGACTCTGCGTCTTAAAGGCAGCGTCCAGGCAGATCTGGACTTATGGGGCTTTTACGTGGAAAGTACTTTTGGGGCCCTAACTAAGGCACTGCCCAAGCGGCAGCTCAGGTAGTGCAGTAATGGCTGAAATATTCCCCTCGTAACCATAGGTGCGATGGGGTGAGCGGGGTCCCTCCAAGGTGAAGGGTGTCGCAGCTGATTTTGACTCTCAAAAGTGAAGGGTGTCTGTAAAGTGCCGGCGTCGACCGGGGGGGGGAACTGAAAAATTTCAAGTGTTGACCGGGGAAGGATTGAAAAATTGGTGAAAAAAAAGGTAAATATTATAAAATTATCCAGTATAAATGATCAAATTTTCTAAAATAGATTTTGGTGAAATGTTTACAAGTACTTTGTTTTCTATTTATATGAATATCATTTCATTCATAACCATTTTCGGTGAGAAAATGCATGTTCAGGTGGGTGGAACGTGTAATGTTGTAATGTGCTTTCGACCGAAAATTGCAATGGACAATGGCAGATACTCAAGGTTGGAAGGTGCTGAATGAAGTCCGGAACTTACAAATGTGGATAATGTTAATAGGAGGCTCCTCGATTATTAGGAACTATTGTTGTCAATAAATCCGTAAGTCGGTATCTATGGACTACAATAAAAAAATTGTTGCTCAACTGTGTCCACTTAACACGTTGACGACGAGCCATTTTTTGAAGGTCTGTCCCTGTGGACGAACCGTTTCCGGGCATTTTCACAGCCGGCTGCACATATATATGCATGCATCTATGCGTGAGATACACAGATGCAAGTGGGCGGGGCAGCTCCGCCCACTTTTGGCAAGCCCCGCCCACTTCTCAAAAATGCAGGCAGTTGCTCAAAATCAATGAATTAGTGCAAATTCCGGCATTTTTGAAAAGTGGGCGGAGCTTGCCACAGAGGGGGTGGAGCCTGCATTACGGGGGGTGGGGTCAAAATCAAGATTATTTGAGGTTCCCCTGTCATCTACGAGCTTTTCTATGAGACTTGAAAACGAAGAAAGTTTTCTGTAGAGGGCAATGGAGTGGGCGGAGTTTGCCAAAAAGGGGCGGGGCCAACATGAAATACTTTCGAGCCTAACTTGATTATATGAACACAAATTGGGACCATTGTGCACATTAAAACTGATGTTTAGGGTGTCGCGCACCATTGCGCGACATCGTCCACAGGGACAGACTGCCTGTCGCGCACCATTGCGCGACACCGTCGTCAACGTGTTAAAGCAGAATAACATACACAGTGTAGCACAGTGATAAGACTAGTGTAACTGATGTTGGGAGAAATTCCCTAGGGCAGTAAAGTTGAAGCTACGATGTTGACGATATTTGAGCAAGGTCACTTTTTCTAACTTGTGTAACTTGCAGTAGATCGCCCTCCAGTATACCTCTTGTATAAATGGGCTAAAGCCAATTTTGAGCTAGATTCGGATTCTGGCCTTCAAAAGCTATACAACGATATATAATCTGTGAGGTTCAATATCTTTGCCAGGTGAGATAGTTTCCAAGGTGTCCAACAGTACCCCCCCCCCTTCACGTCAGAGCCCCATATCTCCACGGTGGGGGCATTTCATAATTTAATTTTTTTTTGCCTCTTCAAGAGGGAAGTCCATTTAGTTTTACCTATACCCTCGCAAAGAGATTCCACGGGAGCGACTGACTCAAATTCCAAATTTACCTGTGTTTTTCAAGCGCCTTTTATTCCTTGCTGTAACTCTCCTTCAGTATATCCGATCTTTCTGCGAGGGTATAGGTAAGACTCAGTAAACCCCCCTCTGTAAGATGCAGGAAAAATTGAAGCATGAAATGCTCCCGTCGCCGAGATATGAAGCTGCAAAAAAACCCATCAAAAATCGATTTTTTTAATATAACTTTTATATAAGTAAAAAAATCAAAACGGAATAGTATAGATGGATTCGTCTCCTCAAGAGCTTTCGAATGATATATAACATGTGAGGGTTTGATGCTTCTAGGTTGCGGGGAGGGGGGTGATCGGGCTCAGTTCAGGGTGATCACCTGCCGGCGCCTTTCCAATGCATAAAGGTGGCGGGGGGGGTGATCACTCTGAACTGAGGCCGATCACCCCCCCCCCCTCGCAGGGCTTGAAAAACATAGGACCCCCACATGCAATATATCAATAGAGAGCTCTTGATGAGTAGAATCTATCTATACCCTTCCCACTCAATTTCGTTCACATACACACAAGCTATTTGCGAAAAATCGATTTTTGAAGGCGTGATTTCTGCTCTATTTGCGACTCCATAACTCTAAGAGGAATACTTTTTAGGATCTACTTTTTTTTCTATGTGATAGAGGAAAGGTTCCTCAGTAACGCCTATACTCTCGCAAGATGACATTCTACAACTTACTCAAGTTATACTGACTCAAAAATTGACTTTTCTTAAATATGGCCAACATTGCGACTGCAACTGTACTGCCCTAAAAATTTCTCCTGACATCGTTTGTACGATTTTTATCATTGTTCTGGACTCTATATCTTTATCATGCTTTAAGCGAACACAAATGAACAACAAATTCTTTTATTGTACTACATAAATACCGACATAAAGATTTAGTTGCAAAAAAAATTAAAATTCATGATCAATGCAAGGTCCTTTATCAACATCATTCACATCAATATTCTCCAGGTAAAACTGTCCATCAGCGCCTTTCAGGCCTCTAAAATAACAGACATTGTCCGCTGCCCATGTTATTGTCGGTCAATCATTTTTATAAGATTCTGTTCGAGTTCGATCCTTCTAAAAATGCATTTGTTCACTGATATTTTTGTAATTGTGCAGTAATTCCTCACCTTCAAAAAATTTTTTTGTCCGTCAGGTGAAGGGGAGGGGGGTGGTCCGACCTCCAAAGTGAAGGGAGGGTGAGCATTTGCTCACCCCTTCGCACCTATGCTCGGAACTGAACTCCGCGACCGTGTTTCGCATGGATTCATGGCGCAAAGCGTGGATCCTGGCGCGAAACTGCCATGAATCCATGCGAATACGTTCGCGGGGGCCAGTTTCGAGGGAAATATCTCAGCCATTAAAGCAGTACCTGAGGTGCCGCTTGGGCAGTGCCTTAGTTAGGGCCCCAAAAGTACTTTCCACGTAAAAGCATAGGTCTATATCTGCCTGGACGCTGCCTTTAATCTTGGTGGCGTCAAAATCCAAGTCATGGGCTTCTGAAAAAGCCTGTTTTCGACATATTCGTGCTCTCCAAGCCGCATTTCGAAATCAGCGGGAAGGATAAGCCCATACGCGAAAAATTCTAATGAAATCTTGCCCGGACGTTGCCTATAGGGCTGATCTTGTTATCTCGGAACCCCAATAAGTTCGCTTTCCAAGCACTCATGAAACTTCCTAAAGAGCGTTCCAGCAGATAAAGAGCAGTTTTGAAAACAGCTTGACAAAATGCCAACTCAGCGACAATGGTGCCCCCTACAATCGCGTTAAAGCAGCTTACCAACTTGCTAGTGGGGCTTTCTATCGTCCCCTTCGCAATGCAATGTGTTCGCATTCATCAACGAACCCAGTGGGTTTTGAAACCCGCTTGTGCTTAAAGGCATATCGATTTTTTGATATGGTAGGTTGCATGCATACCAAACATGAGGACAGAGCAGGTCCGATCGCACAACATGAGCCCCTGCAAAACTGCTCCTAAACCCGTGCGCGCAAGCCATTCTCACACGGGTGCGGACGAGCTTGCGATTCCCTTCCCATCGTCAGAGCGGCATGTCACAATGCTATGAACATGAGGGTTCCGCAACGACTCTACGTCTCTGACCATGGCGGGGAGGGTTCCACTCGTCCAAGATGAGGGGCTCGAAAAATGCTGGTTTTCGCCATTTTCGCACTCTCCAAGGTATGTTTTCGGAATCAGCGCGTCGAATTACCCAGGTAAGCGAAAATCTTCAACTTGAGAACTTGCCGAGCCACTGCCTTTGAAGGCCACCCTAAGCCAGTGGTTTTGAGCTTTTGGTAGCTTACGATAGTGGGACCCCCTGTCAAGCCGACTCCCAAGTCGGCGCAAAATGTCGCTTCTGAAGCGAGAAAATCGCTTTGGAATGCGAAGATGTATGAGGATCCAAGTCGGCAACACCCATACAGTAATGCCCGCCCATTCGTGCGCGCCATCTATTGACGGGAAGCCCACTGTGAGTTCTCCGAAACGGAGATTGTCGGGTCGCGAATTCACTTCATACTTGTAAACAGGGACATGGGAAGGCCTCGGAACGATCAAAACATGCAAGTCGAGAATGTGGGTGGATAATGCCTCTAAGCATCGATATTCGCGGAGCTAGTGGGAGCGAACAAAGCAGTACTTATTATTGTCGATACAACCGGTAATTTGCGAACCCACGAAATGCTCAACGAGCATGCTGTAAATCTCCATGCCAAAATTAAGCACGAACGGTCAATCGGTATGCTAACA